AGTGGTTAAGGGAGCTGGATTCCACATGGCTGACCATGGTTCGAGTCCCATTCCTGGTGACTTGAAAAATATGTTGAGTACATGTACATGTATGCTCAAAATCCCAACAGGGTAGAGAAATGGAGAAGAGATTACAGTGTGACCACACTCCATTGAGGGGTACATAATCACTGTCTGTCTCTCTTGCAAACACATACACCCTCTGACAATTAAGAAAGAGGGATCAGCAGACAGCATAATGGTTATGTTGCAGGACCCCCATGTAGTCAACCACAGTTCAAATCCTGGACCCAGCGGCTTAAAACTAATGCCAGGTGCATGTGCATGCATGACCAAGATCCCAAGGGGAGAATAGAGTAGAAGGGATTGTCACATGGCCATCCCCCTGGGGGTGATTTTTCACTTTCTGCCTCTCTGTCTCTCCAGCAAGTGCACAAACGCTAGAGCAAAATCTCTTTAAAAAAGAAGGAAAGAGGGAACCAGCAGTTAGCGTAATGGCTATGTCGCTGGACTCCCACGCAGTTGACCGTGGTTCGCGTCCCAGACCCGGTGGCTTAGAATTCACGCCGGGCACGTGTGCGTGCGTGCCCAAGATCCCAAGAGGAGAATGGAAGAGAAGGGATTGCGGCGTGACTATCCCCCCTGGAGGGGGGATTTCTCGCTTTCTGTCTCTATGTCTCTGTCTGTCTGGCGAGCGCACGCACCCTATAGTGAAAATCTCTCCAAAAAAAAAAAGAAAGAAAGAAAGAAAAGAAAAGAAAAGAAAAGAAACTCTTGCTCCTAATAATCCCTCTAGATATTTCCTTTACCACTCTGAGGGACTACATTTACCTCTTCTACTTCTTCCCAGCATATCCTGTTGTACTCTCATAATATGGTGTTTGCGGGGACCAGCAGTTAGCGTAATGGCTATGTCGCTGGACTCCCACGTAGTCGACCCGGTGATTTAAAACTCAAGCCAGGTGCGTGTGCGTGTGTGCCCAGGATCCGGAGAGGAGAATGGAGGAGAAGGGATCGCAGCGTGGCCATCCCCCCTGGGGGGTGATTTCTCACTTTCTGTCTCTCTCTCTCTCTCTGTCTGGCGAGCGCACGTGCCCTATAGTGAAAAACCTCTCAAAAAAAAAAAATGGTGTTTGCTTCCCACCTGCTCTTTCTTTCTTTTTTTAGGTTTTTGCCACAGAGTGTAAGCACTTGTGGGAGAGTGACAGAGAGGGAGGAAGTAAAGAATCACTCCCCAGAGGGGATGGCCATGCCGCTGTTCTTTTTCCTCTTTTCTTTCTGGATTTTGGGCTCTTATGCACATATTCTCAGGGTGATTTTCAGTCTGCTGGGTCTGAGGCTCTAACTGCTGTCAGCTATGTGAGAGTCCAGTATCTTAACCACCATGCCACCTGTTGGCCCCTTACCTGCTCTTGCAAAGATTACCTGTGACTTCCTAATTGCCAACGCTAGTGGATTCTTTTGTGCGTTCTTCTCAATTCCTTTGGAGCATCTGAGAATGTTGATCAGCCACCTCCTTCAAACCCTCCTCTCCAAACTTCTAGAACACTATCGTCTTGATACTGTTTAAATCCATTTAAATCCAATTATTGAGTATTTTACTGTGCTAGGCATTAAGATAAAATGCTATAGGGAGGCAAAGATAAATAAATCATGGAGCCTACCCTCAAGATGCCACCTGCTTGGGAACCAGCAGTTAGCGTAATGGCTATGTCGCTGGACTCCCACGTAGTCGACCGCGGTTCGCGTCCCGGACCCGGTGGCTTAAAACTCACGCCGGGCGCGTGTGCGTGCGTGCCCAAAATCCCGAGAGGAGAATGGAGGAGAAGGGATTGCAGCGTGACCATCCCCCCTGGGGGGTGATTTCTCGCTTTCTGTCTCTGTCTCTGTCTGTCTGGCGAGCGCACGTGCCCTACAGTGAAAATCTCTCAAAAAAAAAAAAAAAAAGATGCCACCTGCTTAAAAAGGAGACAAACACATTTAACCAGATTTAACCATCTTCCAAGAATGGTGTCTGATCCCACCTGGTGTATTTATTCAAGCTGACCATTAAGCATTTGCTGTGTGCTAGGTGCTGGAAATGCAGTGGTGTCTTTAGAGCCATTCTAAAGGCTCACATGCCTAGAGGGCCTTCACTCACCTCATTACAGTCACTCCTCCCTTCCATAGTATTCTACCTGAGTCTTTCCACATTTAATCAAATTCTGTCTTGTATGCTAGCATTTGTGGGAGGAGTTCCTAGTCCCTTTTCTAGGTTGTCTTATTCAGCACACCAAATGAACATCTTCTTCAGGCTGGAGCATAAGCCCTGTGTTGAGATAGAGAGATGACTCAGAATCTGCCCCCAAGAAACAGAGTGTAGTATTGTATCAGAGGACCAACACCTTATCTCTATTTCTTATAGCCCCTTGCACAGCGCTTTGCATCTCACAGGCCACAGCTCACTTTGCCTATGCATGGAGACAGACCAGATACTGTCCTTTCTGTCTCGTTAGGCAGAGGGCGGAGCCTGTGGATGTCCCTGGCCTTGCCTGGGCAAACGTCTTTGCCTGAAGAGCCTGGACCCCTCGGGGTGAGGCATGTTCCTTCCAACTGGGCCAGATGACTCAGGGACATTCTGCAGAGCCTGATTGACCCCACCCACAATCAAGTCCAATAGCTCTGCACCTACCCTCTGACCTCTCCCTTTGCTAGTGACCTGCACACTTGGTGGTGCCTCCTACTCTGCATTGCATGTGTATGCTTTTGTCCCTGATTATTTCAAGTAAGTTGATCTTTTTGTCTGCCCTCCAGAAGGGCAGAAGCCAAATTAGGTTTTAGCTTCTCCTGGCTTTTCTACACCAGTTAGCACAGTGATTAGCAAATAATTAGGCCTTGAAGAAACATTTGTTAACTGATTGACATTACTATCAGTTGTTGCTTTCTTTGCTTAAAGCATTGTTTCCAGGAGACCTTTGTAAAATATCCATGTATTACCTGGGAGTAATTAACCCATTAATTTATCCAGTGGTTCTTTTTTTTTTTTTTGAGAGGTTTTCACTATAGGGCGCATGCGCTCGCCTGACAGCCAGAGAGAGAGACAGAGCACACGCGCCCGGCGTGAGTTTAAGCCACCGGGTCCGGGACGTGAACCACGGTCGACTACGTGGGAGTCCAGCGACATAGCCATTACGCTAACTGCTGGTTCCCCCAATGGGTCTTTTTTTTTTTTTGAAGAGGTTTTCACTATAGGGCGCATGCGCTCGCCTGACAGAGAGACAGAGAGACAGAAAGCGAGAAATCCCCCCCCAGGGGGGATGGTCACGCCGCAATCCTTTCTCCTCCATTCTCCTCTCGGGATCTTGGGCACGCACGCACACGCGCCCGGCGTGAGTTTAAGCCACCGGGTCCGGGACGTGAACCACGGTCGACTACGTGGGAGTCCAGCGACATAGCCATTATGCTAACTGCTGGGTCCCTAAAATAAATAATTCTTAAAAAAAAAAAAAGAATTATTTATTTTATTTTATTTGTTGTTGTTATTGTTATTATTATTATTAATTTGACCAGAAAGAGAAAGGGAAAGTGAGAAAGCAAACTGCCAGGCATATAACTCGAACTGTGGTTGACAGGTGGGAGTCCAGCACCCTAAACATCGCGCAACCTGCCGGCCCCTATCCAGTGGTTCTTTTATTTTTTAGAGTTTTTTTTTGTTTTTTGTTTTTTGTTTTGCTATAGGGCGCATGCGCTTGCCAGACAGAGCGAGAGAGAGACAGAGAGATAGAAAGCAAGAAATCACCCCCCAAGGGGGATAGCCATGCTGCAATCCCTTCTCCATTCTCCTCTTGGGATCTTGGGCATGCACGCACATGTGCCCGGCATGAGTTTAAGCCACTGGGTCTGGAACAAGAACCGCAGTCGACTACATGTGAGTCCAGTGACATAGCCATTACGCTAACTGCTGGTCCCCCTATCCAGTGGTTCTTAGCTAGAGTGTGATGACATGCTGATATATCCCAAATAATCTGTAGTTACAAGTGATGTTGCTGAAGCCAAGCATCTTACCTTCATTGTTTCTGTTATCCTTTCCGACAATTGTATATGGGTATTTAATTATTCCCATTTTGGGGAATAGAGAGCTTTAGTGTTAGGAGGGCATAGAACTGGGATTTGAGGGTAGGTCATCCCTTGAATGATGTGCATCCCATTCTCTTGCAGTCCAATGTAAATTTTTCTCTTTCCCCTGAATGTGCTGTCTTACAGTGAAGAAAGGAGACAAGTCGTGACTAAGAATCATGACTTGACTATGGCGCATTGCCCTCCCTAGCAGAGGGAGAATATCGAGGTAAAGGTCACTGCTCTGAGCACCAGCAGGCAGCCACAAAGGTCACTGCTCTGAGCACTAGCAGGCAGCCACGGATGAGGATCCTGGGAAAATGGGAACTGAATGCCCAGGGGCTGAGCCCTTGAGGAAGAGCTCAGCAGGGCAGATCATCAGCTTTGTTCACCATGTGGAGGGTGGGCTGGAGGGGAAACCAGCCCATGAGATCATTAAAGCAATTCAGAGAAGTGAGGAAGCTGAGCAAAGGATGAGAGGAGGAAAACATACTATTTGGGAGGACTGAGATATCGTGGGGTTGGTGGTAGGTGTGGGAGTGGACACATCTTAGGCATGCACACTGCCCCAGTGCACAAAAGGAAGAGAGCCAGTTCTCTGAGCTAGGTGTACCTCTATCTAGGGTGGGCAAGAGCCAGGGGAGCCTTCCATGAGCACCTGTAGAACAGACTGTGTCAGAGGCCAACAGGTGGCACAGTGGTTAAGATGGCTGGACTCCCACATGGCTGACCACAGTTCTAGTCTCAGATCTGGCAACTTGCTTTCTCACTTTCCCTCTCTCTCTGTCTCACTCTTGCCAACTTAAAAAAAAAGTAAAATAAAATAATAACAATGAATAAAATTAAATAAAATAGTTATTTAAAAGAGAAAAGAATAGGCCATGGCAAGCAGAAACTTTCTGGGGCAAGCATTTTATTTGTTAATATAAGAATAGAAATTCTGCAATAAATATCATCTAATAAATAACATTTCCAAATAAATAAATATTAATACAACAAACTTAGAGTCATGAGTGGGTGGGGCTGGGGGCAGGGCCTGGGGGAGCTGCCACCCCACACCCCGAAATGCTACTGCAATGTAAACTTTCAGGAAATCCTGTGGCTGTGGCGATGATTGCCCTCCCCAGCCTGGGCAACCCACAGATACCCTGGGAAAGGGGGTGGAGAGGAGGCACTACGATGCCAGCAAGAAAATCTGGGCAAAGTCCTGATGCCTGATGGCTTTTGTTTGCCACCTGGTGCCACCAGCTGCCTTGGTGACTCCTAGGTCGGGCCTGCCCCTGCCCCTCTGCTTTCAGTATTACCTCTTCTGGTTGATAGGCCACCTTCAATGGAGAGCCTACCCTTCCATTTTGAACTCCATCTCTTCTTGTTTAGATTTGCCACCGTATTTGTTTCCCGAATTGGATGTGTAGACTTATCTGGGGGTAGGGAAGCAACACCCATTGAAGGAGAAAGGAGCAGCCAAAGGGCTTCACCCCAGAAAGGCACATGCTATGGTACCATCCCCCAATCAGCCCTATAGGGGATGTGCTTCCTGGAAGTGCTATTAAAGGGGTTGAGTGGGCTCAGGCAAGTGATGGGCAGGGAGCAGGCAGTTGTGATAGCCTTGGCACCAACCCGAACCGCTTCCCATGAGAGCACCCCCTGTGGAAACAGGACAGGGCCTATTGCACCTCTTCTCCAGACCTGTAGGACCTTGGGAAGTAGGCAGGGGACAGGGTTTATTGTGCCACACTCCCATACAAGTCCAGAGAGGGCCAGAGGCTCAAGGCTTCTGTTACCTGGCTCAACAAGTGTTGGCATACAAGTTTCTCCCTCCCGGAGTGGGGCAGGGTTTGAAGGGGGAGGGAAGAGGAGGTGGTAAAGGTCAGAGATCAGAAGCCATGGGCCTCCAGGTGCAGAGTGACCGCAGCTGCTGGAGGCTGTATCTTCTTCTTGAGCCGGTTGAAGTCCTTGGCTGAGCGCCACAGCCAGGTCTGAAGCTCCTTCAGCAGCCAGAAGTCATCCATCTTCTGGAGGAAGTCGCTGTGGGCAGGGCCAGGGGCCCAGGTGGGCTCAGTCCCAGGCAGAGGCTGGGGCAGTGGGGAGCCCAGAGCTGCCATGACGCCCGCAATGCTGCCCAGGAGACCCTGGAGGCTGGTGCAAAAGTGGGCCAGGCTGCGGCGCAGCTCAGCTGTAGCAGCCTGACGGTTGAGGCCACGCAAATAACACAGAAGGTGGCTGTAGGCCTCGTAGTTCTGAGTCAGCCGCAGTTTGTCATTGAGACTTCGCCACACTTCCAGATTGACAGTGGCTCTGGGCAGAGTCTCAGCCCCCAGCCGAGGTGGGTTGAAGTCAGGCTCGTTGAAAGGGGGCCCCAGGTAGTTCAGCTGTGAAAAGGAGAGGGCAATGGGGGAAGGAGGAGGCCAGAGCAGCCAGCTCAGCACTGGGAAGAGATTTGCCCCCAAAGCTTCTATTTCTTGTGTCCCCTGATGCTGGCCCTGTCTCCATTCTAGGCCTTTCTGTCCATCGGCCTCCCCTTTCTCCAACAAGGATGTCATTTGCATGGAGGTGACAGCTGAAGCAGGCTCTCCCGTGGAGAGGTGTAGGAAGAGAAAACCACACTCAGAGACACTCAGGCAGGACGTGCTAGTTGGCTGGGTGGGCATCCCTTGTGGGGAGTGCCCGCCACAGAGGCAGTGGAGAGAAAGAGAAGCCACCAGGAGCCAGAGGAGCCCGAAGATGAGGCTGGAGAGGTAGAAGGTAGCCCAGGAGAGTGCAGAGGCCAAGGAAGAAGAATTCAAGGCAGCAATATTCAGCAGTGTGGCTGCAAAAGAGAGCAAAGACAGTGAGCCTTAGAAAATACTCAGTTCGGCAAGAAAAAAGGTGCCTGACGACCTCAGAGAGAACTGCTGCAATGGCCTGGAAGCCAGATTGCAGGGGGTTAAGGAGTGAGTGGGTGGAGAGGAAGTGGAGGCAAAGGGTGTAGACCACTCCTTCGAGAAATTTGGCAGGGAAAGTCAGGAGAGAAAAAGGGTCGGGAACTAGAGGGGGTAGCAGAACCAAGTGAAGGTTTTCTACGCAGAGAAACCAGAGAGAGAAAAGTAGGTGTCGAAAGGCAAAGGGGCCCCTTTGGTGTCAGAGCTCCATTTTCCCCTTTGACACACCCAGTGCCACCAGCTACAGGGACAGGGATAGAAGGGTACTCACTAAGGCCCCCAAGGAAGGGTCCAGCTGATAATAAGAGCACGGATGCAACAGGAAGGAACCAAGGCAGCCTCTAGACTGGGACAGGATGAAGGGGAAGGCAGACAGTACGGTAAAGGGAAGAGGGCAAAGCCCCTGCCAGCCCTCAGGGGAGCAGCCTGAGGCCCTGGGAAAGGGATGAGGGAGATGTGCAACTGGGAGAGAAAGGGAGAAGAGAGGGGCGAGGCCTGGGATAGGCAAGGGCCCAGGGGGAGGTTCACACGCTGACAAGCACAGAGACAAACTAATTTCCTCGGTGTATCCTGGGGCCGGAGCCAGCTCCCCCGCCACCCTCCTCCCCTTTCTTTCCCTGGCTCCAGAGTAGGGTCTGGGATGTGGAAGAGGAACAAGGGAAGAAGGGGCCGGTTCCTCATGGTCCTCAGCTCTTCTGACCCTCCTTCCTTCTCTTCAGGGCTCTTGGAACACCTCTATAGTCCCCCCAAATCCTTACAACATGGCCTTCATCCACACCCTGAACCCCCTGTCCCTACTGACCTGGGTCCGCTGTAGCCCTCTTTCCCCATGACCCCCCTAGGAGGCCCAGCTAGGATGGGAGAGGCAGACAGAAGGGAGGCCCATGGGTCCAGAGCAGCAGGGCCCCAGGTCTGGGGGCAGAGGCGAGCTGGAACTCAGGCATGGGAGGTGGGGCCCCTCCATCCCCACCCAACTCCGCCTGTGCAAGAGACACCACAACACGGTGTAAACAGAGGAGACTTCCCCAGCCCCCAGGGGGAGGCGGGCAGCTGGGCTGGCAGCCAGTGGGGCAATGGGCCAAGGCGGGTGCGAGGCCTGCCCACATGCCTACTCCTGGGGCCAAGGACGGGGAGGAAGGGGGGCACCTAAGAGGGAAGGGCAGGGGATAGCCCAGACAGGGAGACTACTTGGAGCTAAAGGGCCCCTCCTCATCACCCCATCATTCACCAGGACCCTTCCACCATTATCTCTTTCTTCGCCCAACTCCCAGCCTCCTAAACTGGATACTCACGTAGGTCCCAGCCAAGCTGCGGAGTTGGTGCTCCAGGTAGCGGGTGAGGTCATAGGTTTTCTGGATGGAAGGGCCAGGCCCTGGGTCCCCTGTGCGATTGAGAGCTGGCACTGCAGGGAGGTGCCAGAGCACCGTGCACAGACAAGCTAACATCCCCCACGAGTCCCCTGTGGACAGGACGGGCAAGAAGTATGAGGGTGGGCCCAGGTACACACAGGGAAAGCGGCTGGCAGCCCCTCCAGTATCTGTCCCCACCTCAGACTGGGAGTGGGATGAGGGAGGGACGCCAGATGGGAAGCAGAGGGGATGGAGGAGAAATGCTCCTGGACAGAGAGAGGGAAGTATGTGTGTGCTTGACATGTGTATATTTATTAGATGTTTGTGAGTGTATCTGTGTCATCTGAGAAAGTCTTCGGCATATATGTCACTATGTGTGTGCCAGCATGTGTATGTGTACATGGAGACATGAGGCCAGGCCTTGGGACTGGGGATCAGTATGCCTGGGTTCCAGGTGTACCCCAGCCTTCTTTCCCAGTTTGAAGAGATAAGGGGTAGGAAACAGCACGTGTCAGAACTAGCAAGCTGAGAGCAGCCTGCTCTGAGGGAAGGGTGCAGGAAAGATGCTGCAGCTGAGAATGCACTTGGCCTTCGGAGGCATGCATGGTTAGACCACCAGGGTCAGGTTGAAGGGCACGGGCTGGCTTATGGAGGTCAGTGATGGATATAGTCTAGCATATGGGAAGTATATGGTGGGGAATGGGAAGTAGAGAGTGAGTTTAGACTGATGGAGATTTAGCATTCATTCTCAGGGATTGAGGCAGTGTGGATATTTGCCCGATTCTCATCAAGGATGTTGGATGGAGGAAAATTTGACTTCAGGGAGACCTTTGGAACAGCCTACAATAGGAAGGTGGGGTGAAGAGGGTACAGAAAGGGGAGAGATGCATTTGATGAGTTGGGCTTGTCAGCAGATGGTGCTGGGCAGTCTGGGCACCCAGAATGCCAGGGGTCCAGAGACCAGCATTTGATGTTGAGGAAGGACATAGTCAGTTGGGAAACATGGTTTTCCAAGCTTTTAAGTGAGGGCCAAGATCAAGATTCAGTGGCCATTTGGGACTGATGAAAGCAATTAGGGTTAGACAGGGTAGGAATGTAATTGGCATTGGGCTATGTTAGGTTTAAGGACTAGGTTACTTTACAGTTTCATATTAGTTTAAACTTGGGATTTGGTTGATTGAGTGTGGTTGAGGTTTGAGTCCAGAAGGAGGATGTGGTTAGGTTTGGGCAGGCAGAGGGTAAGCTGGGGCTAAGGTTTGTGAATGTGTCGATTTAGATGTTAGATGGGGCGATGCTTAGCACGTCACTAAAAGTAGGGCTAGTTTGTATGCTAATATTAGATAGGTATGAGGTCATCAGTGTTTTCTTTAGTTTATATTTTATACTTTCAGATTCTTCTACAATGACATTTTATTGTTTTGATAGCGAGGGATATGTTGGATAAGCCAGGCATGATGGTGCATGCCTGTAGTTTGAGCTATTCTGGAGGCTGAAGCAAGAGGATCTCAAGTTCGAGGCCACCCTGAACAACATAGTAAAACTCTGTTTTTATAAACCAAAGGGAAAAAGGGGGAAAGAAATTAGATAGGTTTAACAATTTGACTGTACTTAGAGTTAAGATAAGGCTTAAAAGTCAAGAAAGAAGACTAGGGGGGACCAACAGATGGCATAATGGTTACATTGCTATACTCCCACTTAGAGTCAACTACAGTTCAAATCCTGGACCTAGTGGCTTAAACTTGTGCTGGGCGCGTGTGTGTGCATGCCCAAGATCCTGAGAAGAGAATGGAGAAGGGATTGTGACATGGCCATTTCTCCTGGGGATGATTTCTCACTTTCTGTCTCTCTCTGTCTCTCTTTCTGGCCAGCACAGATGCCTTATGGCAAAAAAAACCTCTCCAAAAAAAAAAGGAAAAAAAAGAAAAAGAAGAAAGAAAGACGACTAGGTTAGATCTTGAGCTAGTCATAATGCTGGGTCAGGGTTTTAGAGATTACAAACTAAGAAGAGTTCAGGATCCAAATTGCACAAACTGTCTCTTTATAGAATCCAGGGGTCAGGTGGGGACTTTTGTAGTGGCCCAACTGGTCAGTCACTCTTTCAGATACTTGTCTGGCTGGCTTTATAGATGAACCGTGGCTGTAGGGGTGCAAGCACTCATAGGAACCCTGCTCTTTTAGTTGAAGGGCTCTTGGTTTGAGGGTATGAGTGTGTCTGTGTCAGTGTTATAGGACAGAGAGCAGGACTGGGGACTTTGCTCCCTGGGGAAGCAGGCTCCCCTTACTTCTTCCCCATGTGCACCTGGGGCTTTCCCCCAGATGCTCCTTTCCTCCTCCTTTCTTCCATACCTAGCCCTTGCCTAATTCTCTGAATTCCTTTCTATTTCATATTCTTCATGTCCCAGAACTCCAGGCCCTTCTCTGCACAAAGCCTTGGGTTATCCTCAGTCGGGATCTGGTTGAGTCACCTCCAGTGTTCTATGGATACAGTGTGTGCGTTTGGAGATCGGAGGCCTGCTGAGGTAGGCAGTGGCCCTTTCAGTCTCCAAGTAGCTTTCAGGATTAAGTCTGGTCTCTCTTGAGGTGGTGGAAATGCCGAGGGCCGATGATGTTGGTGAAGTGGGCTTGCCTCTTTACCCCAGCCTGCCTTGGGCAGCCCTGTAAACCAAGTGCTGGGACTAGGCTGGGTCTATCCCATGGCAGGGAAGTGTGGTCAGAAGCCCAGCTCTGGGCCTTGTTTCTCCTTCCCTTCTGGGCCCTATGGGACATCCCTGGGGGAACCAGCTCTCTCCACAGGGACAGTGGGGGAAGAGGCCTTTGGATAAACAAGAGCTAAGTAATCTGGGCAGAAAAACAGCTCATGAAATTAACCAGACAAGGCCGGTGTTTCCAGGAATATTTCAGTTCTGAGGTAACTGTCACTGCAGGCTGGGGGTTGGGGGGTAGGGGAGAGAGCAGAAGATCCTACTGAACAGCCCTAAAAAAAAAAAAAAAACGAGAAGGAAGGAGTATCAGGAATCCCAAGGAGAGGTTAAGAGAGTAAAAAAGGAAGATGAAAGGACAGGGCTCTGCCCTCTACTACAATAGCTTCTGCTCTGGGCAACATGTGCCCATATCCCAAGAAACAAGACAGCAGGCTAGCTGCCTGGGGCACAGAACACCTGTGGATAAGTTGTGAACACTGGAAGCCAGGAGCGCGCTCAGCTTGCCTGGGCGCTAGGAGAGAGTGTGCTGTGGGCTTCCTGGAACATTCGTCCATCCTCTTCTCCAGGCTCATGGTGTGCAGGTGGACCTGGGCCACTGGGGGCTGTGTCCTGGACCCCCTCCTCCAGTCCTGCCCTCCCTCCAGCCCCCACCCCAGCTCTGCCTCTGGCTGCTGCCCACTGATTGTTTACATCCCGTCTTCTTGTGTGTTTATAAATCTGGCTGAGCACGTGAGGAGCTAATGAGTGCAGCTCACGTTTCCTGCTGCAGCCCCCCCACCCTCATCCTGGCCCCCGCCCAGGCCAGCCTCTAATTCCATCCAGATCCCTGGGCCCTGGGATTCGAGGCCTCCCGTAATGAACACACATACACACACACACACACACACACAGCCCAGGCAAGCACATGGCCACCCCAACACGGCTACACAGGCAGGCACACCCACGCACACATGTCTTTAGCTAGCTGCCCCTCAATCCTTCATCCCCCACACTGACCTCGCTCAGTAAGGGTGGGATGCTCAGCAGTGCAGATGTGCCAGGGTGGTTAGGGTAGGTAGGAAGAGTCAGCTGGGAGACTCTGCACCTGGGATTGGCGGTTAACAGCTGTAAGCCCTAAATGTCGGAGCCAGGGCAGCACTGCAGAGCTCCAGAGATGGGGCTGGGCTAAATATGGAAGCCAGAAGGAAAGCCCTACCCTGACAGCAGACCAGGACCAGCCTCTGGGTGACCTTGGAGAAGTCTGTGGAGGGGAGGCAGGGGGATGGTAGTGCTTACAGGGTGCTGTGTACACTGTTGTGAGAATCAGGCATTGTGACTGTAAGAAGCCTCCCTGGGGTGCCTCCTGACCTTCCTTCCCAGGAAAGGCCCACAGAAATCCATCCTTTCTCATCCTTTGGGCTGGCCGCCCTCCCCTCTCTTCCTTTTCTTCCCTTTCCCCCAGGCTCCTGAGAAGCAGTTTGGTGAGTAGGGACACATGCGCCTGGAAATTAGAAAACCTGGCTTTGCCACCAACCCATCTGGTATCAGTGGGCTTGCATGAGGAGGCTGTGCTGTGAGCACCAAATTTCCTCCCAGCTGAAACATGTGGAGCTCCATCTCTGCTCTCTTCAGCAACCCCCCTCCCCGTCTAAATGATAGAGGAAAAGGAGGTCCAAGGAAGGAAGCCCAGGGCAGGCCAGCCCCTGCCTTGGGGGAGTCAGTAAGGGACTGGTTTCTGGCTGGAGTGAGAGGGCTCCTGATTGTACTGCAAGAGGGCCAGGAGGCAGGGGGAAGAAGGGAACAGTCCAGGGGAGGTGTGTGAGGGAGTTGGAAAAGGTGTTGTTATCAAGAGTGTGCGAGACCATGGGAGGGGCTGGGAGAGCCGGCAGGAGCCAGGGTGTGAACAGGTAGGTGGGATTGTGGGGAGGAATGCGAAGTGTCAGTAATCATCAAGTAGCTGGGGTGGAGAGGGTGGCAGGCAGAAGTGTGAACAGGAAAGGAGTGTGGGTCTGTGTGTGGAGGGGAGAGGGAGCCATTACACCAGTCAGGAGCAGGCACTTCAGTGGCTGCTGGGTGACACTTGCTGCCATCTCCGTCCTTCCCTCCTTTGGCTGGGAGTGTGGCTCCAAGGCAGCGGTGGTATGGGAGTTAGCGAGAGTGCTTTGGCCTGTGAAGGGAGTATGGGCTGTGTCCCCTGTGAGGAGTAGTGTGCGCTGGGAGCCGGGTGCAGGTCTGTCGGGGGCAATGGAAGCACCCAGATGATCCTGGGTCAGGGACAGACAGGCATCCGGCATAGCAGTGTGTCCACTGACCCCACCGCCAGCCTCTCTTCCAACACTGTCTACTGCCATGCCGGCACTGGCCTGCCCTCCCCGCCAGGGGAGGACCCGGCCGGTCCTGGAGCAAACAGGGTGCTCTGGGATTGGGAGTCAGCGAGAGGGGTCCGGAGCGCAGAGTGGAGTTGCTGGGAAGGAAGGCGGGGAAAGCAGCGATGAGGCGCTCTGGCGAGGCCCCGGGAACTCCGGACTTCCTTCGAGGGGCTCGGCCCGGGAACAGTTCGGCGGCGGCGGCTCGCTGGCTCTCCCTCCTCGGCGGTGACCTCTCGCTCCCGGACCCCTCCCGGCGGCGGCGGCGCCTTCCCCCTGTGTGG